AAAGGCCTGAAAGCCATCACCAGCTACAAGACCCCATCCCCCAGCACTGAGGCCAATCAACAACTGGCTTAAGACCTGAACAAAAAGCAAAAGCCTGTTCTGACACCCCACACCCACTCCGACTGTCTCACAGCACAACAATCAACACCCTCCCCCTACTGTTTCTCAACCTGTACTCAAGATCTGTGAAGATGATGTAAGCAAAGTCTTCAGGAGACAGAAGATAAGGAAAGCCAAAGGCCCAGACAGTGTCTCTCCAGCCTGCCTCAAAGCCTGTGCTGTCCAGCAATCATCTATCTTAACAATGATCTTCAACAGATCACTGGAGCTGTGTGAAGTTCCCACCTGCTTCAAACGCTCCACCATCATCCCTGTACCCAAGAAACCAAAAATCACAGGACTTAATGACTACAGAGTCAGACCTGTTGCTTTAACATCTGTGGTGATGAAGTCATTTGAGAGACTGGTGTTGGCCCACCTGAAGGACATTACTGGACCCTTGCTGGACCCCCCTGCAGTTTGCTTACTGAGCAAACAGGTCTGTGGATGATGCAGTCAATATGGGACTGCACTACATCCTGCAACATCTGGACAAACCAGGGACTTATGCAAGGATCTTGTTTGTGGACTTCAGCTCCCCTTTCAACACCATCTTAAGACACCCTTCAGAATAAACTGACCCAGCTCTCTGTACCCATCTCCATCTGTCAGTGGATCACCAGCTTCCTGACAGACAGGCAGCAGCTAGTGAGACTGGGAAAACTCACATACAGCACCCGCACCATCAGTACCGGAGCTCCTCAGGGCTGCGTTCTCTCCCCACTGCTTTTCTCCCTCTACACAAATGACTGCACCTCTAAAGACCCCTCTGTCAAACTCCTGAAGTTAGCAGATGACACTACAGTCATCGGCCTCAACCAGGACAGCGACGAGTCTGCTTACAGATGGTTGAGCAGCTGGCTTTCTGATGCAATCACAACAACCTGGAGCTAAACACGCTCAAAACACCCACTCACCATCATGAACAGCACTGTGGCTGCAGTGGAGTCATTCAGATTCCTGGGAACCACCATCTCACAGGACCTGAAGTGGGAAACTCACATTGACTCCATCGTGAAAAAGGCTCAGCAGAGGTTGTACTTCCTTCGTCAACTGAAAAAGTTCAACCTGCCACAGGCGCATATGACAGTTTTACTCAGCAGTTATTGAGTCGGTTCTGTGCTCCTCTATAACTGTCTGGTTTGGGTCAGCCAGCAAATCAGATATAAGAAGACTGCAGCGGACAGTTAGGACAGCAGAAAGGATCATTGGTGTCCACCAGCCCAATCTTCAGGACTTGTACAACTCGAGAGTGAAGAAACGGGCAGGTAACATCATCAAAGACCCCTCTCACCCGGGACACAACCTGTTTGCACTTCTCCCCTCAGGGATTCTCCATCTCTAATTATTGCCTCTCTCTCAAGTACTATGTAAATACATATGCATATTTTT